TGCTTGAGGCCGTCCCTGTCAGCCCCGCCACTGCAGCAGGCGGTTCGAGTCTGGTGTTACAAAGCAGTGACCGCTCAGCCTGAAGTGAGCGCGGATTGTGATTACGGCTGTCCAGGCAGTCCTGCAACCTGCAGGTAGCTCTTAGCTGGCAGAATAGCATTACAAGCTGTAGTGGTTATACTTTGCTGTGGTTCAATCTACAACTCATAACTTTGAAAGCAAGATAAATTAGTAACGCTGTAACTTTCAAGAAACTCTCCAAACTCCAGTCTTTGAGAATTGCTTTTCAACTTTTCCACCTGGTTAAATCTAGACACCTACAAATCTCCAGTAAAGATGGAGACCTGTGTGCAGCAGAAGTAAGTCTGTTGACAACGCTTGTGTTGCAGTGGCGTTGGTGGACTTCTTGGAGGTAATTCACAGCCATCGCTTCCACTTAGCCCTTCCGTCTGCCTACCACAGGCTGAAACCACTGCTTTGAGGAGCTGTTGGTACAGAAATAACTTAGAACACGCATATGTAGTAGTTAAGATTTATAATTTTTCATGTAGTTAGATGTTTTGTTGTTTTTTTGTTTTTTATCAAATAGATTATAGGGGGAAAAAAGTCTGTACTTAAGACAGTAAATATAAGAAGGAAAATACAAGGTGAGACACTGCAGTAGTTATGGCAAAAGATAAGAAGAAAGATGGCAAGAAGGTAGAAAAGCCTGTATGTTCTCCTATTTCTGTACAAGATACTGCAGCTGAGAGTAGTTCAACAAAGCTGACAGATTTGCAGATGTTAGTGAATGGAGCGGAAGAAACACAGGCAAATGCAGTGATACCGCTTAAAGACCCAGAGGAGGCAGAGGAGCCTCCAGTCCAAGATGTTCCTCAGTACTGCGAGGAGGCTGTTCTTACTCAAGTTGGTGTCAAAAGGTATGCTTGTTACAAATATGCCAGTGAAGTTAAGAATGCTCATTTAAGTATCTCTGGTGTACCCAGTGTCATACAAACACGGATTTGACTCTTGATTTGAGGCAGTGAATGTGGTTATTCAGACCTAGTAGTTGTGCCACCTTATGAGACTGGTACATGTGAATTTCTGCTGCCTTCTTGCGTCTTGGAGTGTTGCTGGCACTCTGCTTGTGAAAAACCTCATTCTGTCAGCTTGTTCACCTATGGTGAAGTTTTGTCTTAAGTATACAGACAGCTGGTGGAGAAAATGTGGCTCTGTCATTCAGTGTTCAGTTTTTAGGGCTGCTTATATCCCTTAAGGATATCCTAAACTGAGGAAACAGGTGAATGGCAGTGTTAACCAAGTCCTTTGGTACTTCAAGGGCGCTGTATGTAATGTTTCGCATATTTACCAGGTTGCCTGGTTGTAAGCTAACAAATGCTACCAAAGTGCTTTGTTTTCTTAACTGAAAGAAATACGGGTCTGAGGCAACATGATTATGTGAAATATTACAAGGAACGTGCAAAAAATCGGAAATTTTATTATAGCTCATTTTTCTACACAAGATGCAACAACTGGCCTGTGTGTAGACCATGGTAAATCAAAGGTCGCTTACTACATGTCTGCTGTGATTTAGGTCTACTAGTGGTAACTTGGAATCTTCATCTTCGGTTTCTTTTCCTTGTAGCTACGAAGGTGAAAAAGTCCATGGATTGTATGAGGGCGAAGGATTTGCGTGTTTTGAGGGGGGAAATACATATAAGGTGAGTGTATAAATTAAAACAAAAGAGTAGTAGTGGATCAGGTTCTTCCTCTAGAACAGGCAGGCTATTTCTTTTAATGTAGGTGGAGGCTGAGCACTTGGAATGTGTAGGCATTGAAAGCTCTGTAGGTTTCTGGCATTCAAACTAAGTTTGAAACCAGTAGTTGGAGGGGAATTACTATGTCATTATTTTGAAATCTTACAGTCGCTGTAGGCTTCAGCTGTGGTAAGAATAAATGTGCAAATGATGCCATTCTCTTCGTTTTGAAGGGCATGTTTTCTGAAGGATTTATGCATGGACAGGGGACTTACACATGGGCTGATGGAGTGAAGTATGAGGTAAAGTGCTATTTAACTTACAGCTGAACACAATTGCAGCCAATTAGGTGTGCAAATTCAAGGAAGGTAGGTAAGTTGCAGGAATTGATACAGCATGGGTGCCAACTGCAGAACTACGGCACTAATTTCAGTCACAAGCCTGACTTCTCCCAGATAGTTGGGGAACAGTGAGTCTTAGTTTTTTAAATGTTGTAATTTAATTTTTTAGGGAATGTTTGTTAAGAATGTGCAGATGTTTAATGGCCGTTATACATGGAATGATGGCAGCATTTACGAAGGATCAATCAAGAATGGACTTAGGCATGGATTTGGATTCTTCAGGAGTGGTACTCATCCTGTTTCTTACATTGGTTATTGGTGTAAAGGCAAAAGGCATGGAAAGGTAAGTAAGAACACCGAATGAGAGCATGGTCTTGGGTGACTACCTTCTAGAACAGCAAGAACTCTTGCAGAAAGGTTTTGCAAAAGTGTTTTGTGCTGTTGTGTGGTCTTACGCTGTGTTGAGATTTGTTCTGCCTAAGGATCTTCTCTGAAGTTGTGAATGGTAATTGAAACAATTAGGATGGGATGTTGTTGATAGTGGAAGAGATGAACGGTATCCTAAAAGAGTAATTGTCCTATTTTGTGGTTTGTCCTTTATGCTGCTCCAAGTAGATGATGACAAAGTCAAAACTGATGACTGCATCAGTAGCGACCTAACAATGACAGAACAATTAGCTTCCCAGTAATGACAAAGTGATCCTGCCTCCCAAATGTGTTAAGCAGACCAAGTATGGTAATTACAGTTAAGACTGCCTTACGTAGTGTAAATAACATCTAGTTCCATCTTTTTAAAAGCAAGTAGTGCTTTTATCTGTCTCCATTTTGTGCATCCAGATAGAGACACTCTTCAGGGCCTGGCATTTTGAAGAATGATGCTCAGCATGTGAGGAAAATCCATTCTAATCACACGTGATTTTGTTCTGTGTCACTAACGAGACACTGAAATCACACAGGCTGCTGTGGGTGGTCACCAGTGCAGGGGTCTGTCCAGTGTGTTCTGAGAGGAAGCTGTGAAGCTGTCAGATAGAGAAATAACAATTAATGCTGTAGACCTACTGTTGGAAGTTGAATTCTGAATGAGTCAGAAAACTGATTTACCTCAGAGTGACTACTGTGGTTAAGTTGCCAAAGTTAGCTCTCTGAAAGTATTTCCAAGTAGTTTGAAAAACATGGTAGACTTTGATGTAATGTAATATGATTTTTTTTTTTTAACACTTCGGGTTTTTTTTAAGGTCTTAACTAATATTCATTGAAAGAAATGGCTTTTTTATTTGTCACTTCAGTTGCTTTCAGTACAGTGTCTCAAACTGATGATAAGTAAGAGTGTGATTACCTGTGTCTTATAATTTGTATGTGATGTTTTATTAATGTAGATGAATATTTAAGTATTTAGATTTACGGTTTGTTTCAGGGTACCATTTATTACGATGAGGAACATACCTCTTGGTATTCAGGTGACTGGGTAAATAACGTCAAAGAAGGATGGGGAATGAGATGGTAAGCGTGGTAGCACTTGTTCTTAGCTTCGTATTTTTTTCTTCTACATGTATTTTCATGCAGTTTCTCCTATTGTTTAAAATGGATACAAGTGCTACCATTTCATAGTAGTGTGTACTTTCTGCAGTGGAATAAGTAATTGTACAAAGTGCTGTATAATAATAAAATAGATCTTCTCTGTAGGTTACATTTTTATGTTGGTATATTTGTGCTGATCATTCACACAAAAGAATGTCTAAAGATAAATTCCAAAATCAGCTTTGGTAAACCACAGATCACCATTTAAAAACGAATAAACTCGAGTGATTTTTAAGTCAAAAATAGGAGGTAAACAGGGGGTACGATCAAACCTCTGTCACAATGAGCCAGCTTTCAAATCAGTGCTTATATTTAGCATTAATAAATGCTAAATTTATTAGCAGTGAAGTTTTGCATAAACCTTGCTTTCATAAGGTCCACTCAGAAATTACTATGAACAAGTCATTAACTGTTATTGTTTTCTTGCAGCTATAAGTCTGGAAATACGTATGAAGGTCAGTGGGAGAAAAATGTACGTCATGGAAAAGGAAGAATGAGATGGTTGACAGCTAATCAAGAGTATATGGGACAGTGGGTGTATGGCATACAGGTATTAATTTCTTCCCCAGCAACCTCTTTAGTTCAGCATCTATCCATTACTCTCGTAAAACTAGGTATGTTAGACTAGTTAGATTTTGTGCACTATCAAAGGAGCTGTGTGTGATTTTTGCCAGCTGAGATAGCAGAAATGTACTGTTAATCCTAAATTGATTCTCATGTTAGCAATATTTAAATTTTTAAAAGGCTTTTGACTTCGTCTTACAAAATTGTAATTCTCTGATGGAAAATATAAACCTTTTTCATAAAAAGGTTTAAAAAGTTAAATGTTTGTGATGATAATTAGCCTGAGATATGACTTCAGCGGTGAGTATATGTGGCGATTTGCTTCTATGTCACCTGTAAAATACTAGGCAATGCTGTTCCCTCTTGTAAAAGTTTTATGATGGAAGGAGAAGATTTCTGGCATTTTCTGTCCCTTCTATTTATTATTCTGTTGGAAAAAGTATGTGAGCTACTTCCTCTGTCTTCACTGTGCATAAAATTGTCAAGGAGTCCAGCTTCTGGAACACCGTGGCTCTCTGTCTGGCATGGTGTTCCTCACCTGGCTGTTCAGCATTACAGTCAAAAGGATTCTGGCAGGCAGGATGTCCTTAGGAGACCTATTGGCAGAGCTTGCTCGAGTGTGTGTTGATTTGGTGTATACTCTGAGCGCTTCTCGCATGCACCTTTTTAGAATGTAGTTCTTTGGATGGTTTGAAGTACTGCAGCTATCAGCTGGGTGCTTTTATTTGAGAGATTTGCCAACAGTGACTCTTAAAGATGCTTAGGTAGTTCTTTTTGGAAGTCTGGGCTGGTAGCTATTGTAGCTTTTCTGGAGATGTTTTTTCTTTAAACACACAAATTTTTTTCAGCATGGATATGGCACCCACATATGGTTTTTGAAGAGAATGCCTGCATCTCAATATCCTTTAAGGAATGAATACGTAGGTGATTTTGTAAATGGGGAACGTCATGGACATGGGAAGTTCATATATGCCAGTGGAGCAGTGTACGATGGTGAATGGGTTTGTAATAAGAAGCATGGCAAGGTGAGTATTGACAAGCAGCAAGACAGAACTACAGACAACACCAGAGGAGACAATTCTGCTCTATATAGTGGATCTCTAGAATTCTGTGTGGAAAACTAGATTCAGTTTGCATTGTGGATGGAACCCCAACAAAAAGAGCCGAGTCCACTGGAACCAGTAGGAGTCCTTCCAAGGACCTTGCTGGGCCACAGATTTGCCTGTATGGTTAAATGTGAGTTGTATGCATAAAGAAATACGTTTCACTGTGGAGATTTTCAGTTCAATAGCTGCATCTTGATTTTTGCAGTGGCTGGTCAGTACTTTCACTCGTACACTATGAGCTAATGAATTTCAAGCTATCCTTGCAGTGAGATGTTCTCACACTAAGAGACTGTTATAAAAAAACCTGTGAGTGGAGTGCCACATATGCAGATGAAAGATTGCAAAGAAGTCTTTGTATATGGGGGGGGAAATGATTTTTCATCAAAACACTTTTCAAAATCAAACAGATACATGGGCAATTCTTCATTCCGGCAGTGTACTTTAATTAATGGATGGCAAAGTACTTCACAAAAAGAGGGTAGGAAAAATTATTTTGCTTTATTTCATCTTATATGTTGCATTTTAGTTAAGATTCTTGAAAGGAAATTTGATTCAGAGCATTAGTGTTATTTTTTTCTGATCTTTGATTTATATTGAAATTAATCAACTTGATCCATCTGTAGGACAAGGTTGTCTTCCAGAATGGTCATGTTTATGAAGGAGAGTTCATAGATGATCGTATAGTAGAATATCCTGCTTTTCAAGGGGATGTGGTGAACGTGAAAGAGCTGGATGCCATTTGCGCTGGAAGTCATTTTGGCACTGGTAAGCCGCTTAAAAAACCAAATTCTACTCAGTTTACATTTTGTTGTTCCTTTTTACTGTAATGTGAAGCTGTTCATACTTATTCAAGAGCCAGACACATTTCTTCAAAGAGCATTGTTAAAGATGGGAGTTATCTTAATAATTAATAGCTTTTGCTCCCATGCTTCTTGGTTGCTGTGCATGACGCTTTGAGTTGAGTGACACATCCACGCTGCATCTTGTAATGCTTTTGGAACAGTGTTGTTTGAAAGTTTCGTAACTTCTGTAATATCTGCATTTCCTTTTGGCTGGGGCTTGGATTGGCAAAATTACTCTTCAGTTGTTATGCTGTTGATTATGAAATCTGTACTTCTCACTATGAAGGAGTCTTATTATTCTCAGTTTGAAGTCGGTAAGAAAAGAAGGAATAATATGTGTTTCATTTTCTCTGTGTGTGTGTGTATATCTATTTTTAACTTAATTTTAGTTTGTTCTGATTTATTTTTTGTGCGTGGTAGAAAACATTACAATCATTAATGGCTCAGAAAAGTCTTCTATTCTGGGATCAGATATTGAGTTGAATATATCTTCACTGCTTGACTTGTTGCCAAGGGAAGAGAGACATGAAGAAGTGAAACAAGTAAGTCTACTGTTTGATATTTTCAGTTTTGCTCCACAATGTTTTTCATATTATTTCTGGTTTATTTGTATTAAAGTAATTTAATTCAGTGAAAGAATTATTCAAAAATCTGAAGGCCCTGAAAACAGAAGAGCATAAAGAATGAATAGACAGTATCGCCTCTTCCTGAGCTTCCACTAGAAGGCAATAAAAAATATTTTAAGATATCTGGAAGGACATTCAGCAGCAACCTTTAGCTACTGTGAGCTTTGTCTGCTGACAGAGACTAATTTATTTTTATCAGTCATCAAAAAATACATATTACAACTACACTTGAGTAATGCTTTTGTGAGCACTTAACCAGGGATATGCTGTTCGAAGTTGCAGGATCGAAAACATTAGATGCCAAGTTGCAGGATCAACACAAGCTGAGCCCTGCTTGCTGTGAGACGATGCTGAAAATGTGTCCTGCTTTATTTAGGTGGAATATGCTATGTTGAGGCATATTACAGAACTGAGAAGAGTTTACACCTTCTACAGCAGCTTAGGCTGTGGTCACTCTCCAGACAACACCTTCCTCATGACTAAGCTCCAGTTTTGGAGATTTCTGAAGGACTGCCAGTTTCATCACTCCAACATAACTCTTGCTGAAATGGATCGGATATTGAATGGTTTGTCTTTCTGTTGCTCGCGGTCTAGAATCTAGGAATTTTAATAGTAAGCTGTGGAGAGTTAGAGTGGCAAGTTCTGCTGACAGCTCAGCTCTCGTAGTTACGTGGCCCTGAGTGAGTACCTCTGTGCCTGTGAGTTCTCAGAGGGTGCATTAACCCTTCTCCAGGCACTTCAGGTGCTTAGGTGAGAAAACGCAAGATTAAAATACCACTTTAAAAATTGTTCTAAAGAGCCATCTGTTCAAAAATTGTATTCACCCCTGGTCTTGCCATTACTATTACATGTAATTTTAAGAGGTCTGAGAGCGCTAAGTAGAAGAAACAAATTCATTTCTTTTTTTCAAGTGCTTTTAACTTGGGTTTGCATGTAGTATGTTTTTTTTCTTCCAGAGTCAGTTAATCGATCAGTTCCATTCAGACACTGTAGTATCCCTAGTATGTGACAGGTTTAACTCCAGCTTTACTTACCCTTGCATTCCTGTATGCTGAGTGGTTGCATTTCTGGAAAAAGGGAGTTTGATAAGATTGAGCTATAGGTGGACAGTTCTCCCTTGACCTGCTTGTTTGGAAGTGATGCTGTGTCTGCTCTGCTTCTGCTGGGAGTGTTGTTACACTGTGGTAGGTAGAGATGGAGTGACTAAGAAAGGCTGACAAGTCAATGTGCCTGTAAGCATTTTAATGTACATGATAGCAGTAGAGATTTATTTTGTCAAATTTTTTAGGTGATAAGACACCACTGGAGGAGGTGCATTGTCCACACAAGACTTTACTGTTCAGAACATTTTTATCTTACCTGATACGTTTAGCATTTCATATCTATCATGAAGAGCACAAGTAAGTTTTATCTTCTAGTGAAATTTATTTCAGTGTAATCTGTTTGAGTTTTCCCAGACAAGAGTATTTTTGTTTCAGCTGTAGAGAGAAAGGTCCTTACCTGCAGAAGTGTTTCTTAGAAATGATGTCCAGGAATGTCATTCCCGCTGCCTGTCGTGTCCAGGGTAAGTAACAGTATTTTTTCTGTGCTGCACAGAATTCATCAGTTAGTACCACATACATCACAGGTTTATTGTAACTGTTATTTTTTCTCAATTAATTTTTAAAGGTATCTTATTTTCTGAGGAACGATGTACAGTTTTTACTATGAGCTATATCGGCAAATGCTGGGAAATACACAGAGCTTTTTGTAGACCGAGTACCAGACCTCCATTTGAACTCACAATGAAAATGAGGCACTTTCTTTGGATGTTGAATGTAATAATCTACTTTTTTTTTTAAAGTCGTGTGTTTAGATGCATTTTATTTGTTCAGTTTATATGAGCATTTTAAAATACTCCCTGTGGCTTCTGCACAGTTGAAAAGGTAGGAGCGATGTTGTTTGTACAATCTGTCCAAGAAACATTAAAGGGACAGTGGTTTTACAGAAATTAGTTATGTACTTCTGCAGGATTGAACTCTGATTTCTTACTACATCATTTCAAATTCTAGACAAATGTGTTTTAAGGGAATATAAATATTTTTGCTTGTCCCCCCGCCCCGTGCTGTAAAAATGTATATACAAAAATGTCTTACTGGTAGAATTCAAACACTGGCAGCTTTAGAAATAACAGTAAGCCATTTTAATAATGTGTTAAATTAATATAGTGCAAGATGAACATGAGATTCAGGGAACAATTCCCACTGATATGCCTGGGTTTTGAGTCACTGTTTAAATCCAAGCCTTTTTTCATGAAACAAAATAATAAAAATATCAGATGGCAACATTGTAATTTTTTGTATTTTTATTTTAAAAGCTTTCACAAGTTCTTTCTTAACACTGTTTTTGCAGTTTAGGAAAAATTTATGTTTACTTCAGTAGGGCCAGAATTTCACTCGGCTGTTAATTACGTATGTGGAAGTATCATTTGAAACCACTACAAATTTCTGCACAGGCTTTAAAGGGAGTTAGCTTAGGTCCATGTGGGAATGCCTTAAGTGCTGTTAACACGTAGCATTTACTTTTACCCAGGATTTTAAACTTCTCAGCAAACAATTAACTGTTTCAAGACTTGTGGAAATACTTGTCAAAGATGGTCCCTCTCTACATGATAGCAGTAGCACCAACCTGGAGCAGGAGGTGTGTATGAAAAAAAACATCATTCCTACAAGAACATTAAAATTACTTTTTAAAAATGCTGCAAATATTGTCCTATCTGCTAGAACACGAGGAAAACAAATTATTCTGGAAAATTAAAGAGTGCAAATGTGAGCCTCTATTTTTGTCTTCCTTTGTTCTGCCTACATCTTCTGATTTAGCTCATGTACTTCTGTGTTTTGCTTATTGTCTCAGCACACTTGACCATACAGATAAGTCCTTAAGAGGGCTGTAATCCAGAGGGTGAAACACCATTTCCAGGAGACTGCTGCTAGTGGTGGTTGTGTCTGTGGGCAGTTGCCTGACAGTATGTGTACACAGTGATTACGCAGGGATGGAACTCGGCACTTTCATCTGCCGAAGTATGTGTTGGAAATGTTAAGATGGGTCAGTAATTAAGATGTCAACCCACTGATCCTGAAAACCTGGTGATCCAAGAAACCTGATTAGTGGTGACGTGTGAAGTGCTGCCACCTCAGTGAGGTCAAACAGTGACTGTAGAAGACTCTTGTGCTGCCTGACTTCTGGCCTGCTATAGGCAGCCTTCACCCTTAAAGAGTTCCCTCTTATTCAGTGACAATCTATTGTAAATGACGTAATTGAATTTATTGTTTTAAATGGTATCTGATAAACTGAACACACAGTGTAAGTCTTGGTAAGGGATTAATTATAAACCTGTTCTTGGGGCTTTTGGAGGCATTGTAGGCAATCACATGTTTTAGGTAATAATAATAGTTGTGTTATTTGTTAGAGAAATTTCACGTAGCTCCAGATACAGCAAAAATTATGCAGTAGGACTTGCTTGAGGCATAACACAGTATATCACCTCCTGAATTTTTTGAGATCTGGCTGTTTTCAGTTTTTCTTCAGAAGAAGGGATGCTTGAGTAGATAAATGAGGCCAGCGAGGCTTCACAATCGCTTTTCAGTTCTTTGCGTGCTCAGGTACATATGCCCATTAATGAAGGGATTTTGCAAAAATTAATTAATTAATCACTGTGTTTGTTTTACTCTAGTTGGTTTTTCTTGAATTTGTTGAAGCTCTTCTTGATTGTGCATCGGTGTATGTTACCAGTGATATGATTAAGGAGCAAGTAGATCATGGTAATCAGAAAAGAAGTAGCTGTAGAATCGAGGGTCTCTCCGAGGGAACCGCAAATGTGTCTTTGTACTCAGAATATTCTCTGTCCCAGGTAAAGTTGATGCAGACCTGTTAAATATTATTGTATGCCCACTTAGAGGGCAAAGTCGGGCCCTGCAAATGTTCTGTGTTTCCTGAACATAGAAACCAATTTCCTCTTTTTGCATAAACAGTCATTTGATTGGGTCCTTCTGTTTTTTCTGTTTGTTGCTACCTTAGATTGTAACATCAGTATAGACAGTTTTAACACACTTGCACATTCTCCTAGATAACTGTAAATGCACATAAAATACTTGCAAGTCTTCCGGTGTTGGAAGGGGAATTGACAAATTGATTGACTGGTGGAAGATACACCTCTCCTGCTTTAAGTTGAATATCTAAAATTGCCCTGTAAAAATGGCATTGCAGTTGTTGTACATAGCAAGACTTGCTGTTTCCTAGCAGTTAAGCTATGTTCCTTTTTTGCTAAACTTTTGAATTAAGGATTTTGTAGGTTGTAAGATGCTGCCTGTGAAACGGGTGCCATTTAGATGCACAGGGTGGTTGAAGGCATGACTTAGAATTGTTATTACTTGGAATTACGCACAAGATGAAAGTAGTTTTATTAGTTCAAAGCGCATTCACAAATACCTAATTTCACAGTCTCTGTAAGCTAGTAGTGCCACTGAACACCACCACTTCCCGTTCTCTCCCATCCCATGGAATCCATTCCTTTGCATCGTTGCAAGTATTAATGCGGTTGCACAGTGAAATGGTCCTGTTAAAGTAGTCAAATTTTCCAAGACTGAAAGAAAATCTTAAGTTAAAATGTATTGAATGTAAAAGTCTTCTGTATACTTTTTATTAGTGCACTTAAAGCAGAAGTATAATTGGTACAGACATGAACAGTGACATTTCCAAGGCAGCTGAGCTTTACGCTTGTTCATGGTTATCTTCAATTGAAAATGTCACATCACAAGACGGAATAAAGAAACAGGAGGTACGCAAAAAGCCCACACTGAAAGATGGAGCAGAGAGTTTGCAGTTCATGGGAGACAGAGTAGCCAAGGTAGCTCTAAGTTTTGAAAGGGACTAAAATTTCATCTGATATGAAATACAGCGTGTTCCTGCATCTGAATCCATGTATGAGCCTAGAAGGGGTGCATTTCCATTGTTAACAAAGTGTTTGCTTCCACACATACCCTCAGCTATTGTTATTTAGAATATTGGGTGGTATCTTCTACATTAATAAAAACAGTGGTGGATAAGGCTACACTTTTGTCTTTATTTGCAAGGTGGGGAGTGAGAGGCTGAGAATAGGGTAGAGAGATTTAGAAGCACTAGGGAAGGCAACTGTAATATAATTCCTAAAATAGTTTTCAAAATTTTTGCAGCAGACTTTTCACCTTCACTGCCTTTAGAATTTTGTACCCAGTGTGTGACTATAACGAGATTCTCGATATTCCAAAACCCAAAATGTATTTTCTTACCCGTGTGATTTCAGGGTAAGATAGTAAGGATTACTGCAATCATGGAAATCAGACAGAGAATTTGGAAACTTCTGACTTTTAGAAAATATACCAACCCTTAGAAAAGAGACTTGTGTTTGACCTGAGTTTTTGTGAGACTTTTACTGTCACTGTCTGAAAAGAGTGGCATCATCAGGCTGCAGAGGATGCTTGGGATGACAGTTGGAAAGATTTCAAAGCATCCTTCTCAGATACGCTCTTGAATGCTGTTCTCTCCTTTTCACTCGGTGTAATTTCTGGAGTATATTGCTGTATTCAGGGCTAGAAATTCATTGTTTCCTCAGGAGCAGATGAATAATAGTATGTAGAGCAACATGTAAGAACAGAGGGACATGTCTAAGAAAAGCAGCTTTCATTCAGGTATCAAAACTAAAGTGTTATGACCAATTTGCTAATACGTGAAAGTGTGAAACACTATTGCAATGTAAATGTTTTTAAATAGGCATAATTGCAGAATGCATTTGGTTGGCAGAATGCTTTGGAGATAGGAGTATGCATGACTCAAATGGGAAAGTGATTTCACTTTTTAATTTGAACAGAAGTCCAGGCATTTAGTAACTGAATTTAAAACTTCTTGCCAGCCACTGAGACCTTGTGAAGACAGAGGGCATTCTCTTCATGAATTTCTACTGCGTGAGTATTGTAGTTACCATAAGCATCTATAAACAGTGGTGCTAGAGGAGAGTCACTCTTTCTGCAGCTTCAAAGATGATTAAAATGGTAGCTGATCATTGAAACAGCTGGATAGATTGCAGTTACAGAGGGTAGCTGCATTCAGTTTGGCAATTATAAAAGCGCTTGTGCTTAGCTTTCCACACCTGCTACACACAGATAGCTAGGCAAGTTTGAATCTCTAAACATTTTGTGCTTTTTAATTAGAAGCTATCACAGTTTCCTTAAAAATAACTTAAAGGCATTTTAAAACGGAATTCTTCCTGTTCTGTCCTGCTCATTTGGGCATGGAAGCAGGAGATTGAACTCGTCACTGTTGCCTTCATTATGAACAGACTTTTCATCAGTACAGAAGTATTTCAGCCACAGGTGTAGCTGTAAGGTCAGACAATTTATATTTGTTTGTGCTGAATATCAAACCTGATACTTAATGCACAGAATTACAGAGTCATTTTAATTTTCTTTCTTTACAATCTCAGACACTGTCCTCTCATTTCACACAGCTCATGGAGATATCAAAGATGTTCCGTCATTGTTAAGCTGGGATGCAGAAAAAGAACAAGATTTCTTTCCAGCAAAGAAATTGAGAGGTAAAGCGGTCCCACTGTTTTAAGACTAACACAAAAAAATCCCTTGTAGCTCCTGAATTGTGAAATTTTAATTGTATATGCAGATTTCAGCTTGTCACAAGAGGGCAGTAAGTGAACATTAATTCTGGAGGAAGATTTTAAAATAACATGTTTAAAGACCATGAAACTTAATTAAATGAGACGTTTAAGTACCAACTTAAATATTTTCTCCAATTTTAAAATGCCACATTTTATCTGTAGGGCATCTATAAGCTGTAAATTGTATTTACTCTGAGAAGCTCAATCTGCAAGCCTGCCCATTTTTTTTTTAATGGCTTGGAAAAAAAAAAGATATTATGGCTACATCTTGCTTCTTTTACTTAATAAAAGAATTATTATTAATGGTGTGCCACGGTTATCTGGGATGTTTTATGTTATGACAGGCTGCCATTCATGCAGAACAGAAATCAGTAAGAGCATTTTCATAAGTTGAGGTTGGTAACCTTTTTATACCATTTCCCTTCTGGCTGATTAGCAGATCTCATCTGGGTTTTTTGTGCTTGTTGAATGTTTTCTGCAGATAGAGAACACAAATCTGAGAACACAGGTAGACAAGGATCTTTGTGTAGTCATGAGCTCTTTCACTGAAATATGATCACTGAGAAGTTACAACTCCGAAAAAACACTGTTCCTTAAAGAACTGGCAGATGGGCCCTAGCCTGTTTTTTGTCAGTGACAACTGGATGCTTGTGTGCAGTTCTGTTCTTTTAGGTAGTCATGTTCATTTCTCCATTCCCCCGTGCGCAGGAGTCATGGATACTGAACTGTCACTAGATTACTGCAGAAGACATTTATCATAGCATTAAGGGAGAAGCTTCATACTCTTCGTGCCATTCCCAGGGACAAGTCACTCTGAAGACCCACAAAAGGGCCATCCCCTTTCACATGCATCATTTAAAAGTTTCTCATGGTTGTGATCTTCTGTACCATGCAGAAGCTAGACTTGCCCATTGCAGAGTATCATACGAAATGCTGTAGTCCAAACCACAATGGAAATAGAAATGCCATGCTAAACAAACATGTTTAATTTACATGTTGCAGATGAACCAAAAGAAGCCAAAACTGAACAAGATGAGGAATTTAGTCTGTGGATGCATCAGGTGCAGATCTTTTTTACAACTAAGTTCTTTCCTGCCTACCAGCATGAAAAAGTGTTGAGGGAAAAAATAAAAGAAAATAGAATACGGGATGCTGAATTAGCTGAGCTGAGAAAGATAAAGGATGAGGAGCTGGCAAAGTGAGTGTTCTCTCTTTATGTTCTCTTTATGTTACAGCTTGCTTTCAGGTTAGAGAACTCTTAACTCTCTGGTATTTCCTGGCATTTGATCCCTGATTTGTGTAAAGGCAGTCAAGACTTCTTTTGCATGCTGTCAGTCAGACTTGAAGTGGTAACGAGACAGATTTTCTGCCTCTCTATGATATGACAGTTTATACTGCTCATACGGTGAATATAGCTGTAGTTGCTTAGCCAGTGTAAAGCTGTCTCCCTGCTTTTGCAGTACATTAAATTTAAACTTTGTTCACTTAGATTTATTGCTGAAAGAGAAGTAGAAGAGGCAAAAAGGCAAGAAGCAGCTGCAGCAGAAAAAACATTTGACTCCAAGAGTGCAGATTTTGAGTTAGAGGAGCCTGTTGCACAGTTAGTACCCCCTCCGAAGGAAGAGGCCCCTGTTGTAGCAGCCCCAGTTGTTACCAAGCTGCCTGCTGGCAAAAAGAGAAAGAAGAAACAAGTCTTCTGATGAGAATTACTGAAGCTTCAAGTAAGTTCTCCTTGAATAAGAAAAAACACCCCAACAACAAAAGAACCACAGGTGCAGTAGAGTCTAAAATACAATAAAACTATGCACAAGACTTGGTTTCAAAGGGACACTGTCTGCTTTTACACCAAGGGTCTTGGTAAAGAGAATACAGTCATTTATGTATGTGAGTGTAATCCTTTAAACAAAACTATACCAGAAGTCAGTATTTGACTTGTACCTAAAAATTCCCTCAATGTTGATACAAGAACTGATTTTCTTGTCATGATCATATATCCCAGTGAAATGGTTTCTGCTTAAAACATGGTTTACTTGACTGAAATACTGCATGCAAACAAGTATGTAAGAATTTGACAAAGAATGTAAATCAGGCTGAAACAGGAGCTGGAAAGAACAGGCCAACCTAGCAAGTTATTTGTTCAGGGGTCTTTTGTAACCAATCTAGTTTCATCATTGTAGAAAACTAGCAGAAATTCACACGATTATGTAAATGAACACAGGAAAACAAAAAGATGCCCTTAAAAGTGTAACAAGTGTTAGTTTTATTTTCCAGTAAAATATTCACATAACGATATCGGAATGGAATGGTACAGATGAATTCAGACTGGTTTTCAATTAGTTTGCACATAAACATTTTTAAAATCTAAAAATTTTATGATCAGAGTTTACAGATTTTAGTAGAAATTTTGATTCTTACAAAGCAAGTATTGCTTTACTATTATCATTATTCCAGTCAATAATATGACTAATAACTTTTCATGTTGAACAAGTGCCTGACATTGACATCTTCAATAAATCAGCCCTTTGCAGATCAATCCAAGAAGAAAATATTATTAAATTGTGTGGCACAAAGTTTCTTCACTTCTTCTGTAAAAAAATAAAAAGAAGATATTTCAGTGTGATATTTTACAGGAACTTCCAGAAGAAAAGCCATGGGGATCATCAAGGAGAGTGTAATTACATTCAAACAGAAAAAACCTAGGAGTTTCTAATGCAGAAATACACTTAATTTTACTCTATCTTCAGTAAGAGAAAGTTAAGTCTGATGTTTCACACTGTCTGAAAGATGAGTTGTATTCTGAGGGGCTAAAGTGTAAAGGATGGTTTGAGTTTGCTGCGGGGCTATTCATCTTGTCTAACCTTTAGACTGCAACGGCAGAAGACAACTTCAACACAAGGAAGAATGTTGTAACCCCTTTTCAGGAGAAGGGGGGAAGAGGGTAGTCTGCTACTACAAATTAAGTCAGCAAAACTTTTGCTTTGTGCTGTTTGGCAGACAACACTTCAGGGGCAGCAGTACTTCCATAGTTTATCAGGCACAAACCCACTCATTCTCATTTACTGTTTCTGTATGGCAGGTTTGATCCTGAAAGACAATTAGAAATCATTGTATAAGTCATGCCACTCATCCCTCTTTTTAAAATTTAGGTATTAATTCTTTCCCATCGTCCAAATGAACACAATCCTATTAAAAGGGAGCCCTAAAATTGCTGCAAGTAACACTCAAACTGCCCTTTCTCTTAAAGTCTGTTTAAAAGCTTATTGCACCTTAATGTTAATTTGCACTCTGAGTCATAAATCATTCTCAAAACAGTGTTAGAAACAAGACTGCAATGGAGTGAGGATCACTGGCAGGATAGATATTATATATAAGTAACCTACCCATGGATCACTGACAAATAAAACCTCAGACGTAAATATGTTCATCTCTTATCCATAATACACTTAATTAATTACTCCTAAACTAGCCTCATGAGCTCTCCTCTGTTGTTTGAAGGAGGAAGAATGACTCATCAATAATTAAGAATGTCTGCTGAATATTTATACTGTTAGAAGGCAGACTAAAACCTTATGCAAACTTACCTGGTCTCTCATAGATCATTCTCTCTCTAGATTTCTTGTAAGATGGATTTTATTACTTCTCCACAGACACACATTTTAGTAGTAACTGTATTTAAAGGTAATAAAAAATAATCCTTACCATTAACTTCAATCAGATTTGCATTTTTTTGATTCAAAATAACATACAGTTCTCGCTGGTCAGACTTTTTCCCAACTACCCAGTAATCACTCATTGCCTTCACAATAATTTCCTCATCTTCATCAACTCTGAAAGAAGTTTTAAAATGTAAAGAAGGTGGCAGCAAGTTCATCTTCAAGAACTTTATTTGTAATCATTAGGACAGCTTAATGTCATAAATTGTTGTGGTTATGCAGTATGAATGAGAGACTACAAATACTAACTTAGACATAATTCAGCAATCCAGGATGAAGGCATCATAAATGGCCGCTTAGGACAATGAGATCCCCAAATGAGTAAATCCATTAAATCCAAAAGTTTGTCCATCAGCCAAACACTCCGGTGCTCTCAAGAAAACACCTATCCTCCATACTGTTAAGGACACACTTCATGGAATTATGATTTGCTACGCAGTGACCCAATAAAGTTGGAGGTGGTGCGGTAGTACTAAGTTTTCACATGTCTGACTGTTAAACCTAGAACTAAACCAGTCTCAACAACAACTAGATATATTACATAAAGCTGTCACTAACCCAGTACTTCCACAGTAAGATGAAACAGTCGTTTTTCATTTATAGAAAAATGAAAGCCTTATCCTTAAGTGGAGTGGAAAAATTGCTAGTTGGTAATTAAGAGTTACAAACAACTCAAATCTGTCAGCATCTTCATGTTATTTGTTCATTTTTATAGTGACAGAGGGTCTCTCCCAGGTTGAAGCACAATACCATTGGCAAGAAGCCAGTTATCTTCTCTATCAGCAGTATGGCAGTAACTACAAAGTTTGCATTTCATCTATCGTTTAATCCCTAAAAGCAGCCAGCTGTTCCAGGAGGAGGGTATAATATTAGCAGAGGCAGATTTCCCTGTCCTTTCAACTACTTATCCAGAGATTAGACAGACTTAAAAGCACTAGGCTTCACATCCCTTCTAAGGTTGTTATGGCTACTCTGAAGCTTCAAATAGATATTTTCTTGGATAGAGGCCCTGGCCCTTCTTTGAATTTTTTTTTTTGAAAGGACAATAGAAGTTTTAAGACAGACTACTTCTAAACAAACACAAAATACCAAATATGACCTACAGTGCACTATTTATCTCACAGAACTATGAATAGCCATCCATGAACAATGACATGAAAGCTTTGCTCATTTGGAAAAAAAAAAAAAAATCCCCTCAACAGAAGGAGTTACAGACTATTTAATAGTTAAGCATTACCTGGAGAAGTCACTGTTGATGTCACCGAGAATCTTCATGAGGTCAGGGTGAACAGATGCAAGTGATACACTGGGTGTTTTCCTCATGTGAATGGTACTTTTCTCTGCCAGGTTCATGTGATTGAAATAGATAAACTTAAACTGAGGCTCCTTCTCAGCCCTAGGAAGATTTAAAAAAAAAACAAAAAAACAAAAACTCGTGAATACTGAGATTCTATAAGCACAGGCTTCACAAAGAACAGGTAACTAGCCAGTGCAAAGCTCACTCAGGCATCCTGAAGTTATCTAACTTCTCTTCACATTGAAGAGACCCAAGTACGTGAAGACTTGTGGCATGATTAAACTCTATTTTAACACACTTTTTTTTTTAAAAAAAGACAAGCTTTCAAAACCAACCAGTTTTTCCCCTTCTGCTGCTTAGGCTGCTAGTAAATAGACAAAGAGGAGTCTAAAGGCCTTGTCCCACTTCCCAGTAGTAGTTTGTTTGCATTTTTTTAATGAGCTGGATTTTTCTGTCCCCATTTTATTTCCTTGCTGCTCTCTCCTATGCCAGTCCAAGCTGGTTTGAATGGATGCTAGGTCTTTAATTTAATTAGCAAGTATTCTTCCACTCACATCTTTGTTACTTGTTACAATCAAAAGAAAGAACTCTTCCTTGATTAGACAATTAGATTGCCGCTTATCATTTGTGAGGGCCAAGCAAGAGACTTATTTTCAAACTCCTGCCTTGGCAGTCTTCCTCCACTTCCTCTTTTATTAAGTTAACATAAAATCCATCAATTAGAGCTGTAGTTTTGGTAGAAGTCAGAACAAATTCAGACTGGCAAAAACTGTCTCTAGCAATGGGTACTTTGGGCTATGTATTATTTAGAATGGGGGAGATACCGTGATGACATGACTCACCATAGTGAACAACTAGATACCCTTGCTCTCTGTCACCCAGAGGCATTAGTGTCAAGAAACTGTATCATGTTTTCAGGACACCAATGGCATTAAACTTTAAAAGAGTTAAAGTTGCCAAAGCCAGTCCCAGATGACATTAAAACCCCTGAAGTTTAATGATTTAGTAGACTGGCACAATTTCAAGCACATCCTATTCTATACCCTGCGATTTTTCTGATTTGGCATGCTACCACTAAATAAATTCAGTCACGCACCTGTCTTTGCTTTAATTCCTCTTTTGTTGTCACATGTGATGCTGTTATTGCTTCCACAACTAACAAATCTATCTAAAAATAAATACAATTTTTTGGAAATTCAGCTATAGTTCTAAGTGAAGCATATTTTCCAAAGCATTAACATCCTTCTTCATTTGACTTCCCACCCCCCACCAAGTAGTCACCTTAGTTCTGCAAAATAGAAAAAATAAGACATTTTTTCCCTCACCTACCATCCACAGCAACACTTCAAGAAGCAGTGATTCTGGAAAAAAGTACTCAGTAACCAAACAATCCACTCACTAAAATCCCCATTTCAAGCTGTTAAACGGAAGTTGCTCTGGCATCTACAGCTTCATTTTCCTTCTGGATTTGCAACAGAGTTGAGTGTTACATACACTCCGTCCAAGCTGCTGTAAGTACTCGTGTCTAAGGCAATGCTCAGACAGAGCTAGTCGTGTCAGTGTCCGCCTGATGTGAAAAATACTTATTTTTGTAAACATTATACAAAGTAGCAAAAAGTCAAAGCAGAAGTCAAAGGAAATCAGCACAAAGAAAGATGTGGGCACCAAGACAGTGATATTTTTGTGTTTG